AATATTTATAAAACAAATTCGATCGTAGATTCCGCTAAATGGTTCAGTAAAAACTAGCATCCTCAGCGAAAGGGTTTTGCAAGCCCCTCAAAAACCGTGGTGACTAATTTCTTCACGAACTCAAGCTGTAATTTTCAAGAAAGCAGAAATTGACTATTAAGCTTTCTAAAGAGAGATTGTATTGGTAAAATCCTTTAATCAGCACAGACTTTTCTCAGCTAGAAGGTATAAAGAATTCTACAATGCTGACAATTTTGGAATTTTTTTGGCAGTGCAAAATTTTGACGGCCCCTAAATTGAGAGGAGGCTGAGCAAGGCTCTTTTGAACCTTCCATCTTTGGGTATTCTTCGAGAAGTTGGAGAAATTAAGTGCAATATTTCCCTTTTCTCAACAAAGTCTGAAACAAAACGGTCTGAAACGAGGGTTAGGAATAGTACGAACCAATGTATTTTTCAAAATTCTTTTCGAACACTGCTTCGTAACACTGCTCACGGAGATACTTTGGAGAAGCAATTACAAATGCTTTAAGACTGTCACTTCAGGTCGAATTAACCTTTTTTCTGAAAATTTCTGGACATTACTCGCTTTGAGTTTGTAAATTCACTAACAAATCAGTCTTCCTACTGCAAGCTCATAACTATAGCAACACGATGTCTTTAAGATGTTGATGGTGATTGCAAAATATATTTCTAGAAAAATGCTTCTTCGAGTACAGCTTACCTTGAATATGTACATACTTTGAACAATCTTAGGTTCTTCGTATTTTACTTCCTTGAAAAGCTGCTTGATTTTAGGATGAAATGACATTCGCTTGAAAACTTCGTTTTTCACATGGAGTCCTAAACTATTTCCTTCACCTAGACTCGAGTTTATTAAACCTCTTACCATGTCCAATTTTGTTCAATGCTCTATGTTTGTCCACAACAAGCTCCCCATTCTTGTCGAAAGCACCCTCTTCGAAGAATACTCTTATCTTATCAGAACTGTTTAGAAAATAGTCGTCAGCAGCGTGCTGAAAAAAAAAGACTTTAGAAATAAAATATTTATAAGATACAACCCTACCTTGTCTTCGTCGTAAGTTGAAAATACGCTTTTAGGGTGCTGATTCAGGTCGATTCCATCAATTACCCTGTCGATTTCGTTTTTCATCTCGTTCAGTTCATCTGCTGTGAAAACATCTTCCACTACAGCGTAACCATTCTCCTCGAACTTCTCCAGCCAGCTCATTTTGGTCTAAAAAGATCTTCAAAAATGAGTAAGTATTCAAAAATAAAAGGAATGAGAAAGGATAAACCAAAAAATGAGCCAGCTGATAAAAATTTCAGAAGGCGGAATAGCTTTCCGATTTATTAGGTAGATCCATAAGGCTTGCACAAAAAAGGTAAAAATTCACTCAAAGATATTTGAGACAAGGTTTCAAGTTATGGGGGGATTTTTTTGAAAGATTCATGTGCC